CCCCAAATACACGCACATTGTTTCTTCTGGAACGGGATTCTAAGTCAAGCACCTTAAGCTGTGTTTTTCTCTGTTGTTCGATGCAGAGGCATAGAGCCTCGGTTGCCTCCTTTGCCCATTTCTCCACTTGATGGACGCGGGCCTCCGCCTCGTCAATCCGTTCAGCTAGGCCCTGCACATCAGTGGCAATACTGTCCAGTTTACCGTTGATCTCGTGTCCCAGATGGTCAATGTTCTGTTGTAGCTTTGCATTATCCATCTTGAATACCGTCTTCAAATCGTCAATAGCCTTAAGTATTCCTTCCGAGTCCATGTTTGTTCCAGGGCTGTTAGCTCCCGCACTAGCCACGATGTCGTTAGCTTGTTTCAAGCGCGTGTTAGCTTTAGTGACCGAGGCGCCTTTATCCTGAGTTTTAGGCATCTTTATCGGTTTTTCTTGGCTCAGTGTGTTTCTTCTCCCGTTCTTAGGTTATATTATCGAGACGTTGCGCTTATTAACGAGTTTTGAACGGGAGTTTTCAATAATTAGGGTGGGAGAGAGGTTCTGACGCAGCCGTCTACTCCATTTGCTTCCGGAAGTCCCCAAGAGGAATTTTTTAAGTTAAACTTGAGACTTTATTTTGCGTCAGAGACACAACAACAATCATTTTGATTGTAAATTAATATTTTGTTTGGTATTTGTTCTGATCATGTTTGTGATGTGTAAGAAAAGCCTTTATTCACAGAAACTTGCATTCAGTGCAGTCATGCAACAACCAGATTCTGCTTGTTTTTCACCAGGTGAACAACAACAGCCCCATTTTTCAGGCCTGACACGAGGTCTGGTGGCTGTGTTACTTTACTGGGATGGAAAGCTTTGTGTGGCTAACTCTCTGCGCACACTCATTCAGTCACGTCATGGCAAGACCTTTACTCTGGATTTAAGGTGATAATTTTAAAGGATAGTACTATTAAAGTAGGATAGCTGTTTTAAAGGCTCCCATATAGACCCCGTTATTGCCAATGCGGTAAAATACTTCTCCTTTACGTGTTCACGTTTGTTGACATGCAGTGTCTTGTTTTTATTTTTGCAGTGGAGAGCTGGTGGCTTTGACAACACGCTTTACAGATGAGTTAATGAGTCAGGGACTGACCAAACGCATCCTTACCTTAGTGTCAGAGATAAGTGTAACACGGGAGTTTGAACGGCTGCAGAGGGAGCGCGGCCTCGGCAACGAGAAGCACAGGAAAGAGGTAAGAGCAAACAGAAGATTGTCCACAAATGTATTTATTTTCATAATTCCACTCACTTTGTTGTCGAACCTGAAATAAAAGTATGTATTTGATGTAACTGAGCAAGAAATATTGACACAATCTGTTTGCACCAGGTTTCTGACCTCATCAAAGAATGCCGACAGGCGCTGGCTGACAGCTTGTTTTCATGGACCTGTCAATCACCCTTGACTAAAGATGACACCTTGGCTCTCATTGGCTATTTGGAAACCGTAACGGCTCAAGCTGATGGTTCACTAGACAGCGTGAGCCTTGCTCTGGTTATGGCTCTTCTTTACTGCTTGGACGTCAGCTTTATAGAGCAGGGAACTGAAGACAGAGAAGGTGAATATCAAACGCTGATGCTACGCAGATCCTACTTATAGCCCTGAAATAAACGCCTACCAGTGTAATTTTAGGTATTCTTTCATTTTCATGTTTAGACAAATTGATTTTGTTTGTGTTGTGTCCCTGCAGATCTTCTCCAGGCACTGCCGTTGCTGACAGAGAGACAGTATGTGTCTGCAGTGCACAGTCGTCTGATGGACAGCCAGCCTTGGAAGCTTCCGGGGCTGCAAGCTGTGTGTCGACTTGCCTGGGCTTTGTGTCTGAGGGTCCTTTCACAGCTGCCACAGGGCTCAGGTAAGTCTTGTATTTTTTTGACATGCATTAAAATTTCAACGATGCTATCTATGCTAGTTGTTATTGAAGTTTAATATGAAAGTGGTTTTATTTAACTAGGATGTATGTGTTTACCATGCAGGCCTTGTTGAGTTCACTGAAGCAGATGAAGCACTGGCTGATCAGGCTTTGTTGGGAGATGTTTTTCTCTTCATGAAGGAGGGCATTTTGGGATGTGAGGGTTTTGCCCAGGAAGAGTTTTATATCCGCCGCCTCCATTCGCTCATCACAGACTTCCTGGCACTCATGCCGATGAAGGTTGGAGATTTTATTTTTGTCCACTTAAACTATGACGTCATTCTTGGTGATCCTAACTTGCACACATTAATAAGTGAGTTTTATTTTCTGCAGGTGAAACAGCTTCGTAATCGTGCAGATGAAGATGCCCGCCTGGTGCACATGTCTTTACAGATGGACAGTGAACTTCCATCATCTCTGCGGAGGGACTTGGATCATCTTATGGTTCTGGTCAGTTTTGATATCATATTTTCTGATGAGAAACATTTGATGAAGYGGTACAGAACATTGCTTTGGCTTCACACTTTTGAGTTTGAAGTTTATTAAGCTTGTGGTTTCAGATAGGGGAGTTTTACAATAAGGATCCATTTGGGTTGGAGCTGGGTCTGGAGTTCTGGTGCCCCACAGAATCTCTCCAACATACTTCACTGCATGGATCCTATATGGGCATGGCCCTGCAAAGACCTCCTCATAA